AAGTCAATTTGTGTAACCATGATTTACTGAATAAACCATAATTGCCTGGATTCATACAACATGCCAAACCATAAACAATGGATTACTAACCACACTACCTGGGTGGACACCACCTACAAAAGCTGCAAGCAAACCATATTATGACAATATGTTGTGTGAATTCAGTCATTATTTGCTCCAAGTGAGACATAACTTATACATGCCTATTTATGAGCAGGACTATTGAAAGTTCTGCATTTGCTCTACAACCTGGCTGTGTCTGCACCACATACCTCCCCATAATGAACTCAACCCAATTTGCTGGGTTCTCACACATGCTAAAATAAATGCATAGATTTGGGTTTGCATAACATGCTAGGCTAAGTGTCTAGTTTGTGATTTATTGGCTGTGTTCATACAACTCAGTTAAGCAGGTGTGGCATATGAGTTTTAATGCCCTGGCATGGCTGCTGTTCTGCTGGCATGAGCCAGCGTATGGAGTGAGTAAAAGGGAAGAAGTAGCTCAGTTTTGACCTTGAAGTGCAGCTGTGCTGTTGTGAGGGCTGATGAGCTGTTGTGGTGAGATTTTGAGGCAGGAGTCCCATTGGTCCAGCCTGGTATATAAATGTTGCAGACTAGAGCTCTGGCAGGGGCACCCCCCTTCTCAGTTGCTGGGGGACATGCTGCCGGCCTGAGTAAAAATTGGAGAAAGAGGAGGAGAGAAAAAGACTGTGCATGGAGCGGCTGGCGAGAAAAGTTGGAGAGAGAAGTTAAGTATGCAAAGCAATTGTCAGGGCCTGGTTGGGAAGGGAGAAGAAAGGTTCAGGAGTGGCTTCCCTGAAAGAAGGAAATGAAGACCCAGGGGGATGAGAGCTCCACCCAAGATGGGAAAGAGGGACTGGCTGGTGCAGGCGGCTTCATCCAAGACCCAAAAGGAAAAGAAGGGGATCGGCTGTCAGCAGCAAAGCCCTGGTCTCTGGGGAAGGACTGGGCAGAAGACCCTGAGAGAGGTTCTTCCCCCAACGGAGGAACCAGCATTTGGCTGAGCATTCCAGGAGAAGGTCAAGTTGTGCTGAGCACATGACAGTAAAGTTCCAGCCCCATTCCTTTCTTTTCATTCTCTCTCTTGTTAAGCCCAGTAATTGGGGAGGGAGTTGGAGTGAAAGAAGGAGAAAAACAGAGCTGCTAGCAGGAGAGCTAGAGGGAGAGACAGTCTCTGGGAGGAAGACTTAGGAGGAAACCTGACACCAGGTGAACACCAGGGCTGTGTTGTAAATACTTGTACATAGCTTCACTGTAAATAGTAAAAATGCATAAAAAGCTCCACTGTCTTGTTTTCTGTGTCAATTGCCACCCTTGCAAAAGCACGACACACCTCCAGTTCAAAAAGAACCCTATCGCACTGTGACAGCAGGTCAGTTACAACCTAGCAGCTGCATTCAAACACGCTAAACTTGTTTGGTTTTAGCTTGATTTGTTTTTGGACAGCTTACTGGGTTGTGTGAACCCAGACCATTTGGTTACTGTATATGCTCTAATGCAGTGTTTCCCAATCTCAGCAGCTTTAAGATGAGACTTCAACGCCCCAGAATTCCCCAGATAGCATGCCCAGAATTCTGGCATTGAAGTCCCCTCATCTTAAAGTTGCCAAGTTTGAAAAACACTGCTGTAATGTCTGTACTCCTTGCACCATTGATCCCACTTTGGAGCTGAGGTCAGAAAAAGGGCAAGAGCTGTATGGAGAGGGGAGTGTTTGCAGTCAGATACAGACACTGAGTAGTTAGGAGCTTGCTTCCGAGAGCAAAAACTCTCTTGCCTCTAATATGACTGCTGCTGCCAAGCATGAGAAAAAAAAACCACATGCAATATGTCTTCTGTCAGGGATGCACAACATTTTTCATGCTAAGCATTGCATTTGGCCTCTGAACAATGTGGTTTACTGAAGTGATGCTGGAGTGGTTCAAAACATGTCCCTGAAGAAGGCAATGGCAAGCTACTTCCATATTGTTGTCAAGAAAATGATGCAGATACATCCATGAAGTCACTAGGAGATGAGCTGAACACAAAGGAGACTGCTTTTCAGTGCCAGATTGCAGTAGTGCAGGATCCAGTCTCTGTGTATCTGTAGCAGATGTACCCAAGGAAGAGGCTTTAACCAAGGGGTCATGAAATACAAATTCTGTGAATTGATGGGCTCTTTGGAGGGCAGAAATAATGGGATTAGAATAAGGCTCCTGCTGCAAAACAGGAGATCAACAATATATATTTAAAAATATTTAATACTGTCCTTCCTCCAGCTGGTTTTAGGGTAGTGTCCAATAGGTACAAATAAAAAACATCCATATCAAATACAGATCTGATAAAATGGCAACATTCTTCTCAATCAATGAAACTCAGGCAGCTATAAAAATCCTATGATGCAGGTTGAGACATCATAGCAAGGTAAGCTGTCAGGCAAATAGAATGCCTTACCCCACTGCCCCAAAGAATGCAGCATTGGCATCAGTCATCTCTCTTGGAGGACGGAGATTTATCAAGTATAAAATGGAGAGGATGTGTGTGGGAATGAAAAAGGAAGTCAAACCCTATCCATGTATATTAATATGTTTGGGGGAAAGAATCGATTCTTAAAATGAGGAAGGCTTGAAGACCACCAGTGGAAAGTGGGAGGTTAAATTAGTTGAGAATCTTCTTTCCTTCCTTCAGATTTCTCACATTGGAGTCTACCTTCAATTTATCCTCACAACAATCACCTTGTGAGGTAGGTTAGCCTGAGATACTGGGTAAGTGCCCATGGATGGGAGTGATGGTGGGGGATTAGATCTCCATGCTCTCAATATAGCATTTTAACCAGTCTATCATAGTGGTTGTTGCTGCCTACCTGAAGGGACACCGGTAATTTGCATTGGAAACAGATAGGAAACAGAGGGGAGAGAATTAAAGAGAAGAATGGGGGAAAATACAACATTACCTATTCCCAAACAGGAGTGGTGGAATGAAACTGACTCCCTAGAGTTTACTGTGGATCAGGATGCTGACTTCTGCCCAGAATTACTGACCTACAGAACTGACAAACTCTGATGGTCAGTCATAGTCAGCCTTAGGCCTGCACAACATTTGGCCTGTGGGGCACATGCAGCCCACCAAGCAACTTTGTGTGGCCTATTGGCGTTCTTTGAAAAATAACCAGTTCACTGCTGCCAAGCGTTACCACTGCCAGGAAGCATTTGCTGCCATCACCTAGGTTTTTGCAGCTACTTTCAACCCAAAAGACACACTGGTGAGTGCCTCCAACGCCTCCAGGCCTCACAGACACTGCCAGCTCCATCACTGCTGCTGTGCTACTAGCTGCCAAACAGCTAATCACGTGCCAGCTATTCCTTTATGGCCCACAATTATTTTTAAGGTATCAGCATGGCCCTTTTGCCTCTGAGTTGTGCAGGCTTGCCTTAGATAAGAAGCTCTTGGCTGACACATTTCCATGAAAAAAAAACCTAAGTGAAAAAAAGAGCTCTATTTTAGTTGAGCCAAGTTTTGCTCAGCCCCATGCAAAACTGGGAGAAAATGGTTGTGTTTGCATTACAAATTTACCATGTTTATCACCCAATTTTCGGAGCACGCGCAACCATCTGGGAGCTATTGTTCGAAGTTTAGAGAAGTGGGAGACACCATCACTCAACCTGATGCCCTCAAGATACATTGGGACTGCAACTCCCAGCATTCCCAGACACCATGCTAAGAATCTAAAGAACTCTAAAAAATCTGGATTGCATGGAAACTTGCTCAAGGGCAGGAGTCGGACTCCTGAACCCCTACTGTATACCCATCTCTGATCACAATTTCTGAAAATTGCTAGCATGGTTTTCTATTATTTTGAGGTGGGAAAGAATATGAAGGTCTAGTCTAAGCCCTCAATGCCATACCCCCAGCAAGAACCTCTCCCAGGAAATTCTGGTCCCATCCACAAAAAGGTTTTCCACTCTAGCCAGCACTTAATAGAATAAGAACTTCAACCATTGGTTAGTTCTTCCCACAAGTGTTATGTAAAAAAAGCAATTGCATCACACTTTGATAGCAAAGCTTGGATGGAGATCCCTATCTTTTTCTGATGCTAATGACCATTGTTTGGTACACTAGAAGGAATTATAATTTGTTCAGGAGAATTCTGAATGGGCCCATTACAGAGGTGGAATCAGGTTGCCTTGCATGTAGAAGCAGCTACATACAAGATAAGGCAGAGTTAGCTAATTAAATGTTCTGCAGATATTTTGATCTATAACATGCCTTAGTCTTAACCTCACTAATTACATTCTTTGTCCAGGCCATTATACCCTATGGCTAAATGCATATGTTAGGGTTTAGTGAAGTTTCATAGTCTCTCAGCTATCCAAAAGAGGATTTGATGATGCCCTCCAAGTCATGCCAATAGTTCACTTACCTATCATTTTCAGTCCTTACTTGTAAAAACTAGTTTAAAGGAGTTTTTTTCCCCAATCCTAATTTTTTTTAGTAGGAAAGACAGGGACATAATCTTGGGTTTATGCATTCAAAGCTTATGCGCTAATACTGAAAGATGGGCCTTCTTTATCTTTTTTTTATTCTAAAGATATCAGTTTAGTTGGAGGTGTAACTATAGCAGGAAACTAGTTAATTTGCTCAATCTATTCTTCAGTATTTTGGGCATGTAACATTTTGAGCTTTGCTTTGGGATGCATCTCACCTCTGCCAAGCTGAATCTATCCCCAGCTTAGCTTTCAGATGCATTATGTAATCCATCTGAAGAAAAGCAGAACATTTTAAAACTGTATCTGTCTATGTGGTTACTAAGAGCCAACACACTTGGTGGCACATAATCAATCAATTGGTCGTGCAGCAAAAACAGATCACACATTCAGTGTAGATGTAGCATGGAGAAAGCAACTATTCTTTTTCCATTGCAGAGAGCCAATGATCAGGTTATTAAAAATCCATATGTATAAATAGAAACTCTGGCTACAATAAATCAAAGTAAATCCAGAATATCAAATGTAAAATTGATGTTTAAAATAAAGCCATGAAAGTTAAAACAGATCAGCCAAGTAATTTGGCAGTCTAAAATTCATTACTAGTCACTTCTAGTTTCAAACTAGAGCACTCTTTTTAAGAATGCAATCCACTTTCTTCAAAAGTATGTATGTGGAATTTGGATTCCTGAGAATGTTAGTAAAAATACAAATAAAAACCATCAGATCTCTCAGAATTAAAGCTCTGTACGTGAGGGACAGTTACTTCTCAGCCATGATATTTGTAAGCTGTAATAATCATATGAGGGTTTGTAGCTGTGAAATACTGACTATTGGAATTTAAGATTCTTGAGAGGAATGTTCTGCATGCAAAGAATGTGTTCTACCACCAACTAATAGCTTGTCCTCCAAATCAGGACGTTAACACAGCAGTGTGGATGCTGGCAGTAGAAACCACTGGTGTCAGATAGCATCAGAATCTTGGAACTGTGCAGTTCTTTGCTTTCTCATCGCTCTCCATGCCATACAACCTTATGTCACAACTTTTCCATATGCTTATCCTTTTTCGGTCTCACTGGCTTTAAGACAGTTATCTTGAGGGTGAGGCAATTTTGGGATGAAGAGATCTAGCTGTGGATTCCCTTAAGAGTCAGTCTGCTTCTTTATTTTACTAACCCTTTCCCTGATGCTCTTTTGAATTTTCCTCTCCATTTCTGACTTTCATCTACTTTCTTAACCTTTCTCCCCTCGTATTTGTCAGCTGGAAAGGCCAGAGAGTTCCTAGGTCTAACTATCCTAGAACCTGGCATAAAGATGATATTTGTGCTACCATTGTTCCTTTGAATGAATCTGGGAAAACTGGGAGGATGTGCACTTTTCTGAGTTTCCTCCAAAGTGTGTTCACAGTAGAACTGTCTCTGAAACTTCAGCAGAATGTGGAAGATTCAGAGAAGGGCTGTCAATCACACTCTGCCCTGGGCATTCAGGAGACTAGATAGAGGGCTCATGGAAAGTGAATCAGTAGTACAGTGGATGGATAACAAATGAAATCTCTGGTGCCACTGTGCCCCCATCATACCATTCCAAGCATTTATCCAATTTGCAATTTTCCACCATGCAAACCAAAGAATATAAAATAAGGCACTTCACTCGGGACTTATGCTTGGTGTGTTTCTATACACAAATTAACTTTGTGCATATGAGAGTAGTATTGATATTTCTTTTGAGCACAGAACAAATAGCCCCGAAGGCACAACTATCAAAATGCAGCATTAAAACAGATGAAATATTCACCTTTCAATAAAGTGCATTAGTTCTGCATAAATAGGCAGTTAGGTTAGGGGTCTTTCCCCACTCCTGAAGTGCTATCCACCCATTTTGGGGCCTGCAGAAAACTATACCAGCATGAAATTTGCTATCCCAGTTGCCCATCCTTATCCAACCTCTATTGCCTTTGTTTCAAGTCATTTTTGTCATCTGACTTTCCCCTAAAGGTAATACAGTAAAGTCTAGCAGATTGTATACGTGTTGAGCTGCACCTAATGTCAAAATAAGCAGGGAAATACTACTTTAACACTGGTACAGCTAAGCATGACTTAACGTTGTTTCACTCCTAGGCTGGGGATGAGATGGAGGCAATGCCTTGCAACACGGCAGGAAATAAATTGCCAAGGCATGTTTGCATCATACTTAAATGCAAATGGAGAAAGGCCCTAAGATCATAGCTGAGCTGCTGACCCTACGTTGGAGGTCAGATTCTTGACTATCCTGCCAAGATTGGCTATTTTTTCTTCTAGCAGGTAGTTCTTCTTCTCTTCCATCTTCTGCCTCCGTTCTGTCATCTCCAGAGCTTTTAGCAGCTGAGCATTCTCAACATAGAGATCCTTCACCATCTCATCAGCTTTTGTGTTCTTTACAAGCTGAAACACAGTAAGAAAAGGTGCATTTGTTCCACATGGTGGACAAAACAAAAAAACCAATTGTGTACTTTCCAGCTATGGTGGAATTCAATGTCACTTTTTAAACCAAGGCTGTCTCTGCAAAGGCTCTATAGTCATTTTTTGTACATTGTCTAAATACATTTAATAGGCAAATGGTAAATAATAATAATAATAATAATAATAATAATAATAATAATATCATC